ACATTAATAATTCATGATTGATTGTGTCAAATGCCTTTTTTAGGTCAATAAATATTCCTATCGTGTATTTCTTTTCATCCATGGCACTTGTAATGTCCTCCATCAGGTCGGTAATGGCCAATGATGTCGACCGGTTCGACCTAAAACCATACTGGCAATCAGAGAGGATTTTATGTTTATCAATAAATGTATCTAATCTGTTATTGAAGAGTTTTTCCAGAATTTTTGAAAATTGTGACAACAGAGAAACCGGCCTATAATTCGTGAAATTGTGTTTATCACCAGATTTATCACCATTGATGGGCTCTCTAGCTCCGCTACGAGTTAGCTAAAGTCAGCTAAGGTTATCCATTCTGAATTACCACAGTCACTGAAGTGAGATCTAAATAATTTAAGTAACTTTTAAGCCAAACAAAACCAGAATGTATGCAGGTAAATACAGCGCCCCCTTCCAAAATGATGTCCCCTTCCCATTCAACATTCAACACAGAGTGATGTAACATCACATTCTCTATGTCCAAGGAAAAATAAAAGCATTAACTTTTTGTGTAGGAAACAGTTACTTATACTTAGTTATTTTACCCAGAAGCTATTAAACTTACATACTTAATGTAACAATGCCACCTTCATTGACATTATCTTTCACAATGACGGGAAAACCCAATATTGGTGTTCGGTGTAGGTTGTAATTCATTCTTTATAATCTTGTATTGGCCACTGTAAACTGTGACTCATGCACACACACACAAATGCACAGAGAAACATCTTTGACAGTCAAAAGAATACTTCATAGAGACAGATACATGCATTTGGGGAAAAACACCAGACAGAAGATCAGTTTATTCTCATTATAGCCACTAATGTGGACAATAAAGCTTTTTCATGAAGCTGACTATCATCCACGAGGAGTGACGCTAAGGGGAATTCTCTGAGACAAAGACATCATTTTGTCAGAGACAGAAACAAGATGAGGACAGTATGAAGGATGCAAAGAAAAGGTCAAACATGGAGTTTTATATTCCCCCTAATTCCTATTCAAACCTATGTGTAGCTTTATTGCTTGGCTGATTTCCTGTCTTGCACTTTATTTGTAGAATTAGATAATGTTTCCATCACAATGATAAAATAATAAATTAAATCACAAAAACAATAACATATAACAATATATATAGTGACAGTTTCTCATCTATCATACCAACTCTTCTGAAAGCTGTAATAAGAGAATTCACTGTGCCAAATTAAACTGATGTCCATATTTGTGCCCTAGTCTCAATCACAGCTCGAGTTGTATAATAAGGTTGGATTTATGAGTCTCTGTCTGAGTGCCTGTTTCTGGGAAGGCTAATAGTCATTATTTTGATTAAGACGCAGATGTGGGCTTCTCTGCATGAATACTGATAGGGCAGGTGAACCAAAGAATTGCATGGCAGGAAGCATAAGGACAAGAACGAGACCGAGGCAGTAAAGGAGATTGAATTACTTAGGTTGAAAGGTTTACTCTGGCATGTCTAAGAACAAAAAACAGGACACTTACGTGATGACAGGAACAAGGTGGTTCAGAGAAACTGCCATGACAATCCTCTTCCACTCTGGCTCATTTTCCATAACAGCCTTTATCTTTCCACCATCTCAGTACTATCTTGCTGTCTTTTAAATCAGTCCTTTCCATCTTTAGGTTTTCCCTGCCCATCTCACCTCAGCAAATTTCATTCTCCCTTTCAGCTGGCCTCCTTCCCCCTTTCCTCCTCTTCAAATCTCTGTAACCATTTACTCGTTGCTGTCAATCCATCTCACCCTTAGCTCCCTAAATCACTACAATGTATTCTCCACCGAACCCCGACAGCATGTCTACATGAACCCCCACTTGACACCCAGTGGGCTGACTCCCATCAGCACAGCCTGTATCAAACAGCCTCCAAGCTGCACCCAGAAAGAGTGGGGTGGGGAGAGGAACTCATTCTCCATCTTGACAGCATCTTTGCAACCGCGCACACACATGCGTGCAGGGCATCAAGAAGCAACGTACACACTGGGAGATAGCTCAAGGGAGTTTGCTCACAAGCCTTTGAATTTGAGCTTGTGAGCTTAAAGCTTTACAACTAAAGGAAAGCAGAGATGAAACAGTCATTGTTGACACTTCATCTAAGAGATGCTTGTCTCTCTTAACCCTTACTTTACCCCATTTCTGCTTTAACATCTGAATCCCAAACAAGTGCGGCATGCAGTCTTTGATCAGTAGCAGATGCTTAAACAGTCAGGCCAGGGAGGCAACATTAGAGAATCATTCATTTGCTGCACTGCAACAGGATCTCTGCAGTGTTTATTTGTTATGTTTTTGTGTGTGTGTGTGTGTGTGTTGCAGATGTTTTGCCTGTACAAATGTTTTTAGGTGTGTTCACATGTCTGTGTTTGGCAAACAGGATGACTTGTAAAGGTGCCCTGAGGCTATAACAGGTGGCTGAGTAGTGAAGGGCCAGTGCAGCACTGCTCTTCCCTGGAGTTGCTCCTAACTGGCAGATTGAGAGCAAAACACGCCTCTCCTCCTACACAACACCACCACTTCAACTGCCAGATGAAAGGCGTTTGGAAATAGGCCAGTCTCCGACGCATAAATATCTGTCTATACATTGTGGGGCTTTTCCCTCATAATCTCCTTCCATCATAATGAGACTCATTATCTGTGAATTTTTTAGAAATTGTCTTTTAATCTTTTTGCTCTTCATTTCTATGGTTTTCTCTTGTGGTACTACAGCCCATCTTCCTTTCTGGTCTTGCCCTTTTCTATATCCTGGTTGATCCCTCCTTCTCCCTTTCCACTCCCTTCAATAACTATACCAGAGATCAATCATTAAAGGATGCAAAGTGCTTTGCCTTTCAAAGAAACTCACCTTCTTTTACTTCTTCTCTTTTGTTGCCATCCTCCTCCTCTCTTTCTTTTCACTGCAGAGCTTTCTTACTTCACATAAATCCCTGCTTCCATCCATCTTTTCAGTAGAACAGCTCAATTAACCAGCCTGCGTCAGAGAGAAAATGACATTCTGCACCATACTATAGCGCCAGTCTAGCCAGCTCCTCTAACATCGCTGCTACAACAGCAGCTCCCAGCAATGTCTCTCAGTACTACAGCCATACAAACCCCACTGCGTTAAATAGTATGATAATGTGACCAGCAGTGGGTCTCTGGAGTATTGCTGCCACAGCAAGGATGCACACACACACACACATGTATGTACTCATTCACTCCAACACACTCTCTTCAGCAGCAGCTATATCGTGATCTATCCTGTACATGCATGCAGCATAGGATGTGAATGGATGTACACAGATGATAACAAGTCTTTGTCAGGCACAGAGCCTTTGCTACCCTTCAGTCCCATGGCAAGGTTCATCTGGGACAAGCTGCAGGCAACTGAGGCATGGAGGGAGGGAGAGAGCACAGGTTCACCACACCACTAGTGTACACTCACATGACATGAGCCAGTATACAAAGATATGTACACACCCACATGTTGTTCTGCATCTTGTCATGTTTTTGTTCATTCTGTTATATTTCTTTTGTGCATGATATGCAGATGTGATGCACAAAAATTTACTTACCAAAAAAACACCAGACATGTATAAACAAGCTACAGATGAAACAAGCTCAAAGCCTTTAGCAGCTGCTTCTGGCAGTAGTTTTCTACATCATTAATACAACTGGTGGAACATTGTCTATTTTCTGGTGCTGGGCAGAACAGCTGTGTAACAGGCTACAGAGGGAGACGGTAGGCATCTGTATGGCAAACAGCCAGGTGAGCTCCTTTTCACAGGCACACCTCCACAGACTGCCGTGCGCGCTGCCCCACCCTTATTTTCATTTCCTTGATGCGTTCTTCCATACTGTATATCCCCCTCTCTCTCTCTCTCCTGTTGATATCTGAATCTTTCTTTCTTTCTTTCTTTCCTTAAACCGTTTTTTAAAGATTCCTTCTTCTATTTCTTCCCTCTGAGGTGTGTGTCTTAAAATTACCCAGCTCTGTCACTGCCAAGGCAAAACAGACACACTGCAGCTGCAGGAGATAAGATTGGTAGACTAGAAAATTGCTACAGTTTGTTCTGCTGTGCTGTTCATCATACAGCTGAGTTTCATCCTCCACCTCAGTGAAAACTGTAGCAGCGCAGTAAAATCATGGGCTCTACTTAACATTAAGCCACTCAGCTATCAGCTGGGGGAGGGGAACGTGAAGAGAAAATGAATATTTATATTAAAATAGCAAGGCAGAAGGAAAGCGAAGCAAACAGTTTGCCTGAGAAATTACCCTCAGTGTGTAGAAAAATGCACAACGCCATGTGAATTGCAAAACCACAGATTTATATATTTTCACATTTAGTAAAATATTGTCAGTATAGTGAAGATCTGCAGTGTAGTGCAGTTCACTATAGTTAAAAAATACACAAACATTCTTTTACTGGATCCATTTCTTTTTTGTAAACACAACTCCAAACTTTAGGCGTATCAGATAACAAAACAATAATTATACTGCAAAGATGACCAAAGTGTTCAGTGAAGCGGTATGATGGCACTCGGCACATATTATTTTCAGAGACATGCCACAAAAAAAAGTATTCTCCACCAACAGGTTACACATTACACCTGTGTTTAATCCTTAAAATTTCTTTAAACACTTAAAAGTAATGCAGCGCTACAGTGTAGTATAACTAAGTGTAAATAATCACAGTCCCTGCTGAAATAAATACGTTTTTTAAAATCATTTTTACCATTTAAATGTGCTAATTTTCTATTTTTCAACACAATATTGTAAATGATGGCAAGACAAATATCCTACTGTTACAGTGACTTATATGTCTGTCATCTTTTACTGCCAGTGGCAGATGAGGCCAAGGTGTGATTCCACAACAAGCCACCTCCACCTCACCTCACAGCCTAATTAATCTGCTCAGCAGCTCTGTTTCTGTCTAATGACCGGACTGTTCATCTCATCACAACAAGATCCTCTTACCGTCACAGTGGTGCTCCGTTTCTCTGGCAGCTCCTTGTGTCCTTTCCACTCCTCTCTTCCTTATCTAATTATGCCTTTTCTTCCTCTTTATGAAACTGATTGTGCCCCTCTCGTCTCTGCTGATGCTGCAGTGATAGAAAAACACACCCTCCTTCGGCCGCTATCCTTCTCCCTCCCTGACTCTTATTGGCTGCCTGCTAGAGGTGACATCACCCTTCTTCTTTGACTACCTCCCTCCCTCTTACTCTGTTCCCTCCCTTATGCTCTCTTCACCTCACTCACACTGGATTCTGACCATTCCTTTATTGTGCCCCCCCTTGCCTCCTCCTTCCTGTCCTCTTCTTCTTCGCTGTACACAGTCTGGATTAGTATAGGTCCAGCTGCTCTTATTCCTGCGCTTACATTCAGCGAAGCAGTGCCAAGCATGATAATGCATCCTTTACATTAGCATAGAGTGCAGCCTGTGGACCTTCAGCACATCTTTGCTCCAAGCCAAACCAGGAGCCAACAGGCTACAAAGGTGAAATAATGGCCATATGAGGTTTTGTGTTAGTAAGTTTAATGCTCTGCTGGTCTCAACTTTCATGAGCTCTTCTAATTCATTTCACCAAGCCACCGTCTGGGCTGCACTTCATTATGGTGTAATCATAGGCATGACTGGGATTAATGTTACACAATGCTACTGAATGAAAAATTCCAGGAATTACTGTCTTATGTGAGTCTGGGGGGACTGACAAAATGCAGAGATGCACTGATTTCAGTGTAATGAAAGGCTGAGTAATCCAGGGGTTGTCTGGCATTGTTATTGTAACAAGACAACACAGTCATGATTCTGCACACATGATGATAGAGAGCTTTTATTTTGCGTGCTTTTATCTGTTCTATCCTGATGTTTTGTGTGCCGGTCACTTGTTCCTGGTTCCTCTGCAGCTCAGCCAAAATTTAGAAGCATAAACTCAGTGTATTATTTTTGAATTTAAAGACCACCTTTAATTGATACGTGTTTAAATTTGAAACCTTCTCAGTCCCTATTCCATCTCTAAAATGCTTTAGATCCTTTAAACAATCACTCCACTTTATTCTACATTCCCAGTTAAAATCCAGAGATGACTGAGCTTTTTCAAATATTAAAAAAAACTCCAATATAAAATAAACACAAACTTTGATGTTTTCGAGCTTACACAGTTGTTGGTGTGACTACCTCACTGCTTTTATTCTTAATATGTCTGTGCACTATGCTTTTTGGTATTTTTAGCAGCTATGGTAGTAGAGTGGCTTTATAGATGGAAGGTTTGGTCTGACAGTTTTGATTCTCAGAGGTCTAAGTCTACTGACTTTGGCATAAAGTCAACAATTATATTTTGAACATGTCTTGACAGCTATTGGACATTCATGGTACTCTTTGTGCTTAGTGTGGTCAGTCAATGTTAGCATGCTCACACATTTAAACAGAGATGGAGAACATGGTTAGGATTATACCTGTTATACCTTCTTAGCAGCAGCAGCAGCGTCACTGTGAACATGTTAGCATGCTAACATTGGTATTTAGCACAACACTCCCATAAATGCTATATGTAGATTTTAGAATAATGAATAAATTGTTTTAATTTTATTTCTAACATACACAGAGCACTTTGGACAGTATTGTTTTTGGTGTGTGCTTTAGTTAAACAGACAAGTTAATTTACTACTCACTCTTGTTTACTTCTCACTGTTGTCAATTGGTTGGCGCTCACCTGTCCATAAAACACAGGAACAATGAATACCGATGATTTTTTAATATTTGTTTCTGAAATAAGAGAAGAAACAAATAAAAATAGATGATCAACATACAAATATGATGACATTTTCACACTCATTCCACACATATTCCTAAAAATAAAATAGAACAGCTCAGGCACTGGGTCAGTGATAACTCCAGTCAGAAAACTCCAGTACCGCTGACCTGCTGTAGTTTTCTTTGTCCCTCTCCAACCTGAGGGAGCCAGCGTGCCCATCTGCCATTGGTGCCAGAGGATCTGCCAGGCTTGCAGACAAAAGCTGCTACAGGAGCAGACGGCATGGGAATAATGATTGATGATGCCTGTTGAGATAGGTGAGAACCTCCCGCCATTATTGTCAGGAGAGGGTGGATGGACGCCAGAAGTGGAAACAAAACCGGGTGAGAAAGTGCAACACATGGGATGAATGTCATTAATCTGGAATTAAATACAGTTCCTTCTCCCACTTGAGAAGTAATCACTTCAGTTTTTGTAGTGTCAGCAATAAAATGGACAAAAGGGTGTTGGTTTTTAATTTTAAGAAGGTAGAAGAAGTAGTTAATCTATAAAACAGACCTTTGAACTACATTTCAAACATAAGACCAAAAGACAAATATTGCAACATACAGGTGAAGCTATTAGGATTTATTTGTCTACATGACTTGGTTTCAATGAGGCATTTCAGCGCCACAGGCTCTGTTCAGCCCGGGCTATTAAAACAAAAGACAACATATATTCAGAAGGCAGCTGGAAGTAGAGGATGGAGGACAATTAGAGTCCAGCTTGTAGGAAGTCTTACTTAGACCAGTCAATACAGATAATGTCTCCTGTCTCTTTTTGATAGTTTCACCTCCTTATAGCCAGAGTTTCACATTAAAGAGGCCCAAGCAGGAAAGTAAATGCCCTTCCCTGAACTCTGCAGCATAAACATCTATGCAAGGAGACGTTCACCTCAGCTGTCGCTCCTTTATACCTACTACCCTGGCCCTCACTCACAACCATTTATCGGTGAGACTTCTTACTTGCCCTTGCAAAAGCTCTCTGCTCATTTTGCGTCCTCCTGACTCAATTTTAAGTGATTCAGCTGGCAGAGAGAGCTGGGATGATATACAGTAAAAGGAGGAAGACAGGAGCATAGAATGTAAGAGAGAGAGGAAGAAGGTGTGGCTATGAATGAATAACTTAAAGGTTGGAGTTGCAGGAAAAACAGATGGTGTCAGCAAAACACAATAAGAGAGAGATAGAAAGAGAATGTCATCACTTTAAAAAGCAAGGGCACGAAGGTAATAAAGTAAATGGCTGTGGTATGGGTGCGGATGTATAGAGGGCGAGGGAAAGAAGTACTGAGATGGAAAATACAACAGAACAAAGCAGAAAGGGACAGGAAGATAGTGTTGTGACAGTGTGGTGGACACAAATACATTCACTAGCCACTTTATTAGGTACACCTGTACAATTGTATGCACTTCAATGCAACATCTCTGCCTTAACATCTGAGTTTATGAATCTCAAAATGTTTCCGTTTTTGGTGAAATTGTTGTTTATTATTGAGATGATAGTTGAAAGTGGTGTTGTAGTGGACTACATTATATTCAGAGGTGTTCCTACTATTCTGACCCTCTCATGTATGTAGTTGGACAGGACAAAAATATAGAGACACCTCTAAATATAATGTAGTGCAGTACAACACCACCTTCAACATGAAGGAAAAAAGAGCGGTGATGTGTAACTTTACAAGGGGAAAGAGAGAGGTGACGGGCAACAAAGCCAGAGACAAAGAGAAGCGGCCAGTCAGAGGCCGAACAACTGTGTGTTCCAACAAGGCCTGTTCATTGGACTGCGCTGTTCCTGGGTCGCTGCTGTGACCAGCATTAGGAGACCCATTGTTCCTCTTAAAGTCATTAGGTGGCTGAGAGGTCAGCCAGTCGACTCGTTAATCACTCGCTAATTCAAGGGACTCTGGTTAGGTTTCCTGCCATGCTCAGAGTGACCCAGATATAACCAGCACACATCTCATTATGCACGTGAATTGCATGGAAATAGCTAAGTCAGCCTCAGACAGATGTGCGGTATGCCGTAGGTCAGAGCACCATCAAAGATAAGTTATTGTTGTCAATGGAAATTCAAAACAAGGACGGGCAAACAGACGTGGAATGGTAATTGTGTGCAAACAAATTCTCATCATTGATATTCAAAGTAAGTTTTGCATAAAATTTGTTCAGTGTGCCACCATGTTAAAACGAAGGAATGACTTTCATGTTTACTAGTTTACCGCCTTCAAAGCTTATGCCCTCCAAAAATAGAAAATGTATTTACTTTGTCCTTTAACTTGCATCACCGAGTCATGCAAGAAATTAAATAATTAGCTTTTTTTTCAATGCAGAGTAACGCGATAGCCATGAAAATGTCACCAAGAAAAGAAATCTTTCTGTGGTGTGAACATTTCCATGCGGTTTATGGAAAATGTTCTTTATATCAGTTGGTGCCATCAAATCCTTCTGTAGTTACTGCCTCCTGCTACATTACATCTCTCTCAGCGGTTAAACAATACTCTTCAAATGATAACCTTCATAGTTCACTGCATTACACGATCTGTAATATGAGAGCGCTGAATTTCATGCAGTGTGTAAAATGCCACAAGGTGCCTATTGCCGTGCCACTGGAGGGGAGGGGAGGAAGAAGCTTGAAGGGGAGGGGGGTTGCAGATGCCATCAGGTAAATAGATAGTGACCACAGATACCTGAAAGCTAAGATATAGTAAAGACTCTGACCATTACAGTAAACAGATGGTCACTTCTGCTTTGGGTCTAAATTCTGTGGTCTCTGTGCTTGTGTAAATGACCAAAGGCCAGCTTATATGCATACCCACCTGAGCCCAACTTACTCCACAGCTGACTCTCCTGAAAAGACAAAACACACACAACTGTATCACTACTTGAAAAACAATGTGAAGGATCATCACTGCAAGGGGATCAGCTCCCGTTTCTGCTGTTTTCCTCCCCAGTCCTCATCAGGCAGAGCAGATAGCAGCCTAATCAGGAGATGACGACAAAAGCGACAGATTCACAGCAGCACATAACACCCCTGCCCCCAACCTCGGTCACACTGCTGTCAGAAGTGAGCGCAGCTCCTGTCCACCTTCATACATCAAACTTCTCCTTTATCTACACATTTGTTGCAAGAAACCAGAAGAGAGAGAACTTTAAAAATGTAACAGTTTGAGTCTAATTAGCAAGTTTCCACTTACTTTATATTTGGAACACCTATCATGAACAAACCACACTGAATTAATGGGAAGAGACAATGACAAACTGTGAGCGTGGTGCTCACACCCTGCAAATAGCAATGCTGCTAACCGGCAACTGTTGCAAAGTAAGCCAGTGT